ATAATGAAACGGATAGATATATACCAGACATTAGGTTTGAGCCATGGATATAGCGGCCGCTATTTCATAGCCGCCATTCATAGGCGCTATTTATCTCGTTTTAATGCATTTATGCATATTGTGTGTTATTTTCTACATCTCTCTCGTACTCACATTCAAATGTACAAAAGAATAGTAGGCTATGATATTCCTACTCGGTGTTACACACAGCACACGAATTAAATAGCGCCTATGAATAGCACCTATAAAACAGCAGCCGCTACATGCATAGCTCGAGCCTAATGTCTGATATATACAGTCATAAATAGATAAATTAACAGTCATAGATAAATAATTAATAGTTTTGATAGTTTAAAAAATATATAAATATCAAGCAAAAAATTGCTGAGTAATATTTAGCGTAAATTGTAACTAAAATATTGTATATGTATATGTAATTGTGAGATCATATTTCCGGCTTAAGTCTCTTCAAGTCTCTTCATCACAGTGTATCATTGCGCATCAACATTCTCTTTTTTGGTTTTATTTCATCTCATTCGTATCAACGTTCCCTGGATTGGTGTTTTCTTTTACTGGATCAAAAGACAAACACCAAAGAAAACTTCTCGTATCACAAGCTTAAAATTCCATTGAATATCGAATCAGGAAGTTTGTATACTGCCTTTCTAAAAGACTCTCGTTCCGCAGTGACATCAGTAAAAAGTGCAATTGCATTGTACAATTTACATGCAGTAATAAACGGTGAGTTGTCTGTACTCCCCAAACGAGTTCTTGCTAATTTAATGAAATTCGGGCTTCGTGTAAAGTATGATACTGTGAAGAACGATAATTGATTTCGTAGATTAGGTGCATTCAGACGTCCCGATATGATATCATGCAATAGAAATAATGATGCGTTTATTCTCCTTCTGTTTAGCGATTGTAAATTCAGTTCTTCACATCTTTCATTATACGGCCGAAGCTCAAACTCATTTGCTGAATTATTTGCACTGTTGCTTGGATGTATAAACTTTACAAGTTGTTTTTGGATACTTTCAATTGCCTTTATATATTTTGAACAGCTTGGAATCCATACTTGTGACGCAAATTCAAGGTTTGAGCGAACTAATGCAAAATATAACATTTTCGCAATATCAATGTTGAACGTTTTATAACAATGTCTTTTTACAAACGCCAGTATTGCGTGTGCCTTATTCGTAATGAATTCAACATGTGTCGAAAAAGACAACTTTGCATCAAAGTATACTCCCAAATCTCTTATTCCTCCCGTTCTATCAATCTTAACTCCATTTATAAAGTATTCAGCATGTATATTGATCTTTTTCATTGAAAACGTCATAATTTTACATTTCGATATATTCACCTCCAATCCATTACTATCGCACCATAAAATAAATTTATTTATTGAGTTTTGAAGCGCTTCTGTATCTTTTACGGTCTTTATAGCTTTTGCAATCTTTTTGTCGTCTGCAAAATTTAATATCAATGAGTCCGATGAATCCTCATCTGAATCGTCAAAAAACATGAGAAAGAGAAGTGGCCCCAGCACAGTTCCCTGACCAACTGAGGATGGAGTAACGTATACATCTGATAAAGCTGATCCAACTCTCACCATGTTTTTACGATGCCCAAAATATGACAAAAACCATTTCAATGATGAGTTGCTTAGTGGAAATTTTGACATTTTCCTTACTGCCAACATTTGATTTACAACATCAAAAGCTTTTTTAACGTCCGCGTAGAAAACGTCTACTTGTTCTTTGTGTTCAAATGCTCTGTGAATGTACGACGTTAATTCTAGCAAATTCGTCGATATGTTCCTTGTTGGCAGAAATGCATGTTGATTTTTCGATAATCGTGGAAAGATCACCAATTTCATTTGATTGTATGCGAGGGTGTCAAGCATTTTGGCAAATAAAGAGACAACACATACACCTCGATATGTATTTACATCCCTTTTATTACCTCCTTTGTGAATTGGGGTCACCTGACCAAGCTTCCAACGCTCGGGATAACTACATTCCTCAAATGACTTTGAGTATATCATAAATAGTGGCTTTGTTAATGATTCAGCGCACTTTCTAATGACGATTGGTGGAATTTTATCAGGACCCGCACCTTTTGATAAATCAATGCTTGATAAAATATTGAATACAGCATACTCGTCGATTTTAAATTTAGAAAAACCATGATCCACACGATTTTCAATGAAAGCATTCATATCGATATCGTCTTTGTGTTGAACAAAAACCGAAGAAAAGAATTCTGCGAATAAGTTGGCCTTGTCATGATCAGTAGATGCATTTTCGTTATTATAGGTCATTTTACTTGGAAGCGAATTTGATTTCCTATTGCCATTTATAAATTTCCAAAAAGCCTTAGGATCATTCTGACGATCTTTCGCTAGTTGTTTGATATAGTTAGTATACAACTCATGTTGACATAACTGGAAAACCTCATTCGCCCTCTTAAGCTTCGTATCATCCGCATTCATATTTGATTTTCTAGCATTTTGCAACTTCTTGTATTCACGATTTCTAATGTGTAAAATATTACCACTGAGAAATTTCAAGAAATTTAATCCGAATCGATTTTCACTCATTGAGTGATTTTGGTGAATATTGCTCAAGTCGACTACTGAACTACCCCTGCATGCACAAATTCGGTGCGATGTGGATTTGTTATGCACAAATTATGCACAAAAAAATGGTAAAGAAATTTTTTTATTTTTCCAATTATTTAAAAAAAAGTGGTGAATTTGTGTGGGAAAATTGACGTCAAATCGATTTTGATGCATTTTTTGCAGTGTACGACCGATCCGAAGGCATATTTGGCATGCACAAATTATGCACAAAAAAATGGCACAAAATTTTTTCCGATTTTTTGGCCATAGAAAAATGTTGAATTGCATCCAAAACCGAAATTCACCACAAAATATAAAGCTGAATAACTCATCAGCCATTTATGCACAAATTCTAAAAATGCATGCACAAATTCGCACAAATTATGCACAAAAAAATGGTATAGGTTTCAATAAGATACTCGAAAGTGACTTGCTGGAGAGTGTAAGCCTATTTCAATGGAGGAATGCTCATATCGCTGGTTTACCGGTATATTCACCAGAAATGGCGCACTACCTTTTTACGGTTGACGTATTGGATATTTGACATATCCAAGACACCAACCTAACGTAAAGGCACTCCATTTTACGTGTGTCTATGCTGAACCCATTATTCGTTGTGCACACCGACGACTTTAAGTGCCCTCCGAAGCACTTCACTAGCCCGAAACACGGCCAAATCTATTCCGCATTAAACCACTGATAATTCCTGAGCGAATCACGGTGGAAAAATACCGGGCCAAATCTAAAATTTTAATTGTTTATCATTGTTTTGGGTACGAGGAATTCAAATCTGCCGTCAAAATTGATATTTTTTGGTCAAAAATGACCACATTTTGGAACAAAATTGAATTTTTGAAATATAAAATGACTACAAATCGCAATAAAAAGGAACTTACATCCGTAAGTCTAACTTTTCCGCACTGTTTCCAAATTTCTTTCTTTATCGAACGAATATTTATTTTCCGAAAGATATTGAACATTCACTGGTAGGGCAGTACTAATTCAATAACTACCGAATTCTAATCTCTGAGAGCAGTAAAGTTTTTTTGGACAATAGACTTTTGTTGCATAAATAATTCAAAATATGTAAACAGGTTATTTTCATTCAGAATGAAACAGTGTTCCAAAGGAAGATTCATTTTGAGATATTTTTTTACAAACAACAAAAAAGTGTTTATTGAACTCAAGTTAAAAAATATAAAATGATCCCATTGGATTACTTTTTAGTCCTTTTGGATTAATCGTAGCTGAAAATTCCAAAATACTAAATATTAATACCACCGATATAAGAGTGTAAAGCGATATGCATGAAAGCGTCGATTCCATATGAATATGCGCATTCAAATATGCGCAGCAAAATATGCAATTTTGCACCGAGATTCACACTATTTGGCACACACTCAATAATGGTCCGAAAGGAAGCAACAGAAACAACCGGGCAATGTCAATGGTAACAATTTCAAATCAAGACCCAATTTTCGTCTCATAAAATGTTTCACTACTGCTGAGTATGGAGTGTCTGGCAACCATCCAGCCTCGCTCAAAATTTAAACGAACTGCAATGCAAAAATACTCATTATATTGACGTAACCTGATATTAAAGAATTTTTGAGAATCTACGTTTTAAAATCGAAGTATAAGTTGCTGGATACGTCGAATTTGTAAGTGCTCGTATTGGATACATTCACAAAAGTGAACATAGATACAATCCCAAATACTAACGGCTCACCTCACTAAACAAATCGAAATGAAAACGACTAGCAAAATGAGCTGCAACACACAAACACAAACATCATCATCAACAACAAAAGCAGACAGCAACAATAATAGCTTCTACTACCATCACCGTCAACTACAACGAATACAACGACTATTATAAAAAAACTTTTTTGGCTTGAGGCACAAGACTGCAGTCACCACCATTCGAGCGCCAAGTGTTAAACCAAAGTAGCCGAACCGTAAATATTCATGCCGAATTGTGGAATTTACATTTGTATATTTATGCAAAATGCTAAATGTTTCGTTAAATGCACATTCATTTCGACATTTATCTTCAATTTGCCTCTCTGTCTCGCTCTGTGTGGCGCAAACTTTGTGAGTCAGCCCTTATCATAATGACTTCATAAAAGATTTTATGACCAAACAAACGGAAAACTTCCGATGCAATTTTTCCCATTTTGTTTACATTTTGTCTTTGACAGTCGGAAATAAATCATGGTACAATGGTCTTGCAATTTTCCTACTATTTTTGATTTTGATTCGGTTCTTTTTTTCACATTCTCTATCCTATCATTACAAAGACAAAGAATATCTTTCATTAAAATATTTAATTCGACTATTTTCAATTTAATTATTTTGCCATTTGTTAATTCATCAGGTATTTCAAACAAATTAGTACCGATCCAAATTGTGCATGGATTTTCACCGGTGGAAAACGATCGACTGGGCGACCATTTGAAGCAACACCAACATCAACATCAGCATCAACATCAAGCGTTAGGTCGTGGCGGCCACGATTTCAACAAAAATATTCAACAACATGTGAAAGCGGCACCACCATTCGGTGAAAGTCATCATGGCAATGCCAAAGGATTATCTACAGTCGACAATATTGCCATTTCGGATGTATCGTCCAACGAACAAATGCTCTATTTCAGCAATGACAATGTCAAAGGTAATTATCTATATACAATATACATGTATATACCAATGTCGATGTATATGAATATTTTGGTATTTCATCATTTTCCACCAATTGCACTTCGACCAACCCAATTTTTGACCGTCCGTAATTTATTATCATCGCACAAATTTTTCAAGCGTATTTATTTTAATTTGTGTTAATTATAATTAGTAACGAGCGATATTCTTATATTCAATTTTATATTGGTTGCACGAATGCAAGCGGTTGCTTCATTCATCATCGCCATCATCCAAAATGCTCATGCATGCGTGCGTGTATGTGTGCATGTATAGTCGTTTTCAATAAGATCTGTTACAGCGAACTGTCAAAATTTTGAACAAACAACATACCCTCAACAAAATTCAAACCAAATTGACACGTTTAACTAAGGAGCCTTGTGTACTTTTGAATGGAAATGCGTTCCGAAATTCATTGTATTAGTTTGACAACACAGATCTTTTTGGAAACGACTATACAATGTAAATTTGGTTCACACAATGTTTACGTTGAGCGGATGATTACATTAAAAGTGTGCGAATAACATAAATTGCCAACGTTTTTTTTCGTTGTCTTTCTTTTTCTGAAAATGGTAATTGTTTTTAAAGAATGGTTTTTCGTGCTCTCGCACAACATCTTTATCATTTGTGTCGCTCAACATTTCATCATTTCAGTCTTGTGCTATACGTTATTATTATAACGCAGTTGAATTGCTTTTGTGCTTGCTGAACATGAAAGGCTAAATGGTTTTCATTATGTCATTTTAATTGATACAATTCTCAAAAAAAAAAAAACATTTGCAGGCAACGATGACTTTGACATCAGCGATGATGATGAATTCGATAGTAGCAGCAGTGGCAGCATTATCAATATCAAGCGAGATGATAATCAAAATGATGACAACACCAACAACAACAACAACAATAATAATAATCTTAACGATGAAACAAATATACTTAGGAATAGCAATAATAGGTACAGTAACTCAACAGTTATAATATTAATTTTGTATTTTGAGAATTGAAAGGGCCCGCAGTTTAAAATCAACCAACTAACCCGTGTACTCCAATCGTAACAGTTTAACTAAAAACGATGATTTGTATGTAAACGATGAACCACCGAAAATGCTGCCATTACGACCAATCATACGCGGCCCGTACGGCGAAAATGCTGACGACGATGATCACACAACCGAAACAACGATTGTTTACACAGAACAACACACTGAGGTGAAATTAAACTGCGAAGTTGATTTAGATATAGCGGCTGTCGTATGGATGCACAATGGCCAAGTAAGTACTCAATTTCATTGTTTTCTTTTTTTATTTCTTAACAAACGACGTGAAAAGTGCCGAGAAAAATGTACAAAGAAATTGGATATATTTCACTTTCTCTACGAATTGAGACTAAATGTACAATGTACATTAGGGTGTTTCCCATATCTGTAAATAGAAAAATGGTATTTTTTAATTGAAAGTAGACAAAATTCTATGCTGGTTAGTAGCATCGATACAACAAAGCGATTTATATCAACACTTCCCGAAGCGAAAAACGATTGTTGCCTCTGAATATGAATATCAATCACTCCATTATATGAATACAATCTCATAGTGAAGAATACTTACAGAAAAAAACACCTAGAAGTACTTCCTCGAAATGCTGAGACACAACAGTCAGTCTCAGTTAATGTAACAAATTACAATATTAATTTTTGATTAATTTTCGAGTACGAATGGTGATTGGTGACGCTTAAGGCTGCTGATTCGGTTGAACTGCTGGCTGTCGCGGTGATCGTCTGTCTAATCCTGCCGGAATATCCCATCCAAACAGCTCACAATGTCCTATTCAAAAGTAAACACACACACGGAAATAATGTATAGATTATTGGCAGAAATGATTTTTTTTTCTTAAATCTATACAAATGTTTAGATATCTCAACAGACATTTATTTTTTTATTAAAAAAATATTTTCTCAATGTCATTAAATATTGCATACATATTTATCATCGAGCGCTAAAATAGATCATTCAAATAGTGTGCATTTCATTTAATATGTAGAATATATGCAAATGCAAATTTCTAATACACATACCTTTGATGAGAATGCATTTGGCGGCGACGATATCACGATCCCAAGATGTCTTGTGTACAGCCATTAGTAGTTGCTTGTCTTCGATTTCCAATTCATTTTCATCATCGACTGCATATGGCTGTTGAACAGTTGCATACGGTGCATCAGCATTGACTTGAGCATATTCCAATTTACCACTCACTGTGTTTACTTGCCAATTTTTTGGATACACGGCCACCTTAGACAGTAAACGTTCAGCAGCAATATCGAATTCTTGCTCAGTCATGAGTCCTTCTGCCCAAAATCGCATCAAATAAAGTTCAACTTCATCTTTGTTGTACCTCAATTGCCGTTTGCTGCGCTGTGCTACGATTTTTGATGGTAAATATTCGGCGAAAATTGAATCGGGCTCCGCTCCACAATTTTCACACACTTTGAATCGATGGCTCCTTGTGGCTGGATTAAATCGTCGCCCACACTTTGCACAATGCTGCGATGTACCCCACTCATCTGTTTTGCGCACACGACAATTGCGACGTTTTCGAAAGCCTTTGAGTAGTTTGCGCGTACCTGGAGCTCTCACATGCTTTTTGATTCGAATGCACGAGTTTGGTGATATTTCTGCATTTCCCATGTGAATAATTGCGGCTTTATGATTGACCAAATTCCCAGTGAGTTTATCAACGGTTCGATTCGATTCGACGTACTTGTCAAACTGCAACAGCGTGTATTTCGGTGTTGTATACACGGCCATTCCTTTCTTGAGCATTTTGATACGATGATGAACGTAATCAATCCAGAGTATGCCCAGTGGTGATGGCATTCGCTGATACAATTGTCGATTATTTCGATCGTCCTGCTCCTCTTGGGTGAACTGCTTCGTCCATCGTTTTGCCTTTACATCGCGCGTCTTCTGCTTTGCCAGCCAATGGTACTTCTTACTGGACGTTTTCATGTTGACCTGAAATGGAAAAGTGAAGAAAAAAATTATTCACGTAACTGTATCACTTTCTATTTCTCAATAATGCCAAAAATTTAAACACTCACTTCTTTCTTTGTTTCGATATTTCGACGAACTGTGGCATTCCATGTTTTCATGCCTGGATCGATTCCCAGTTCGTAAGCAAATTTTCCGTCGATGAATTGTTTTCGAAGAATATCATCATTCTGCATCTGTTGCTTGTGTTGCTTTGACATGCGATACATAATCGACACAGATTCACCGTTGCTGACGATGGTATAATGGAATTCTTTGTTTTTCTTCAGTTTTCGATTGATGGTCGTAAGATCGAATACTTGATTCCAATAGAATTCTTTGTTCTGGCGAATGTAACTTTCGGTTGCTTGTCTACCATCAACTTGTGGAAGTTGTTTCGATTCGGCCAGCATTCGATAGAAGACATCATTGCACATGAACACTGCCTTTCGTTGATAATCAGGCAATGGAACAACCGAGAGATTTTTGATATTTGGTATCTTCACATTGTTATCTTGCGCCCAATTGTGCCACTCATCGATTTCTGTCTGCATAACGAGCCACATTGCAGTTGCTTTGAACCAATAATCGCCTTTTGAAAAATCCTTGATGTTGTGATCATTGGTTGGGCCACCAACTTCTCGCACAATTGCAGTAACCATGCCAGTAAGTAATGTTCGCTTGTGTCGTTTGAAATCTGCATTTTGATGAGTGTCACGGATCGCATTGTAGCCTCGAATCATCAAATCGACTGCATTGTCAATGTCCTTCTTGTCGAATTTCCAACCGGTAGACACTGCGTTGAATTGCCACGCTCGCATTCGCAGATAATTTTTCAACTTCTTCTTGCAGTGTGTCTTTTGACCGGTTTTCAAGCATCGCGTGTGATTTTGGCACAGCGTTTTAAAATGATTACCAAAATAATCGTTCTTGGGCCAGGCGAAATTTTTTTCTGGACTGAGCTCTTCGACAAACTGACGGAAATGTGGCTCCATATTCTCACCTTCTTTGTTTTTTTGCAAGACGGCATAGAAACATTGCTCAATCACTTCTTCGCCACGATTCTTTTCAACGAGCTGTCCTTTCTTCTTTCCTTTTTTGGCCGGATACGTTCGGTTTTTAAAAAACTCCCACTGTCGATTCATTTGTGCCGATTTCACTTTATCCAAGAAAAGTAATGATGCCAAAACGGTGATTTTCGTTGACATTATGCTTTTCTGTTCGATCCACGGTTTGACAATGTGATTGAACTCTGGTCGCAAAATTGTGTTGAGGCGCATTTTAATCGCGAACAATCCATTATCGTTTACATCATCATCAGCATCCTTTTCTTTTTGCGCATTCGTTTGAAATTTGTATCGCTTTTTTCTTGGCGCTGTAGCAGCCGTAGTTTCACCAGTCGTTGACATGTTGAACTAAAACGAAATAAAAAAAACACACGCGCAATTTAGAACACAAATAAAATGACAAATATATTTTCTGCACTGTGTAATTTTTGTAAATGAATTGAATCAATAGGAAGCACTGAATATATGGGGACAAAACTGACACTTGATGTTACCTGATTGAATGTTAAGCGTGAAGTGATTCAAAATCGACAAATTGAGTGATATTAACTCTTTTGAATGCAACATATAAATGCAAACCACACCAACACGGTCCCAAGTTGAATCGAAATATTTGCAGTTTCAGCTTGTGAATGTTTTGTTATTATCAAAACTAAACAAAATCAAACACAAAATTCACCGCAAATATCTCGTTTGAAAACAATCGGTTGACAATGATTCCAATAGAAAACCGCCTACAGCGAAAAATAAACTTCTTTGAAAGCAAGAAACAAATATAACATACACTGACACAATCCAAAAATATGTTTTAGCACTTTTATCAATCGAATCCAATGAAATTATGACGATGCAAATTCAAATAAAAAAAAACATTGATTCTGACAAGTTTCAACACGATCGTTTCATTTGAACCAACACACTTCTCCACATTCCGATGGTTATGTGTCGAAAGCATTCTTATACTGCACACATTTTTTGTTTATAAAGCGTTTGAATAAGAATGTATGGTACGGAACCAATAAACGGAATCACAGTTTGTATGTAAACACTTAAGAGCAAAAGAAACGGAATGATTATTATTATTAGCCTATCGCGATCGATATAAATGTGTATGTGTTGTATGGACTGCTTGGTTCAAATCATAAAATGATTTTACAGGCCAAAAAAACGGCTGACACAGCGAACAACACGATTCTGAAAATGCGTTGAATATAAATACTTTCTTTTGTTTATTTATCGAATTCTAAAGAATCGCAACAATATTCTATCAAAGCGAACAGTGTCGATATACGTGCAAACAGCAAAGAGAATTGTACTTCAAATTCTAATCAACTATATTTTCAGATATGTTTTCGTTTCGGGAAGTGCTAAAATCAATCGCTTCGTTATATGAATGCCATTTACTAACATAGAATTTTGCCTTCTTTGAATTAAGAAATACCATTTTTTTATTTGCTGATACGGGAAACACTCTAATGTACATATTTAATACGATGAATATATACATGGAATTCAACATTTGTTTGTTTACATAGGAAATTCAATTTGCTTGACACGTTTTATGAAAACAATTACTTTTTACTAATAAAATATCAAAGAACCGTGAACTTTGTTTTCATATTTTCGTTCTTTATTCTATTATTTCAAAAAAAAAATCATTTTCACATTGAAGTTGGAGATTTCTCAATATGAGGTTAAGGCTACTTTTTGGCCAATTTGGCACGAAAAATGTCCAAACAAAAATTGTAGGAAAAAGAAATGATAGACTGAGCAAAAGTTCACTGAGAAAAAGCTCAAATTTCGATGGGATGTATATACAATATACATTGTACACAAAATTCTCTCATTATCGAATTTATTTATTAGAATTTTTGTTGTTATGTGTTGAGCAGGCTAAAGTGGATTGTGGTGCTCATACCAAACAACAACCTATTAAGTGGATAGGTAATAATAAAAGTTTTCGTAAATGTAATAACAGCATAAAATGCTGTCTAATGGTTGGCGGTTCATAGAGAAACAAAAAATGTAGGCAGGCCACTTGAAAATTTAGTGATCGGTGCTATGACCTATTTACGACTCAAAAGAAGCCTACACAAAGCGTCGCTTTTGATGCCTGTGTTTTGTGCTGTTTTGCTTTTCAAAAAAAGCCCATCCGCTCAACAAAAAAAGTGCTTGTGTTGTGTGCACGTTTTGGTCTCGGTTTTACTACATTCTACAAACTCAGTTCAAACGTTCATTTTCTCTTTATACCTATATTTTTTATCAAATCACAACTGTATTTTTTCTCTTTTGTTTCCCTTTGTTTTTTCTCCATTTCGTTCTCTATCTCTAAACAACTTTAAAATATTATTGGTGATGTTCGTCGACGATTGCGTTTCTCAAATCATCTGGAATTCAATGGAACATTTACAATATCTCCAAACATTGTGCAAAAACAACAACATTAACATTTGACCAACACACAAATTGTTTATTATAGTTGGTTCATACCACAGAAAGGACTGCTCGGCCAACAGATAATCGATTTTTGAAAGAAGCACGTGGAAGTTTAACGATAACAAATGCTATGCTTGAAGACGACGGCAAATGGCAATGCGAAGCTGAAAATGCAAAAGGTTACATTGAAAATGGTCGGCTAATTCAATTAGTGGTATTAGGTATGTATACAATATATATTCTGTGGCATATAATTTTTCACTACATAATAGAAAATATCACAACATTTTCAAAAAAAAATCGAATGGATATCATTATTAATTCTGACTATTCTGGTTTCTCACTTATTGGTCAGTGGCCATCGTCAATACAACAATTGAACGAATCTTATCGAATTTACAAAAAATGTCACTCAAAATATCGAAATAAAACCATAGACGCAATGAAACAAAACAGTTCTGGAAGGGTTGCTGCAAATTTTCGTATGAATTCCCTTTCTCACCGACTCGGGCGCATTTCAATGAAATCTTGAGCTATATTTTATGCATATTATTAATGTTGACATAGCATATTTGCCAACTGCTTGCTATGCAATTGTCCAATGCACCCACTATTAACAATTCTTTGAGTATAAACACCACTCTTTCTCTTCCTCTCTCTCTCTCTCTCTCTCTCTCTCTCTCTCTCTCTCTCGATCGCTTGCATATAAGTTATATTATACAGGGTATACTACACTCAACTTGGTGAAATTCAGAATACCATGAAAAGTGTGGCCCAGTTTATATAGCTGAATTTGTGAAAAATAAAAACCTAACACACAAAACATTGAAATACTGATTCAAGGATGTTTGTGTATGTAATCATATTTGATGCAGCACATCTGAAATAAATAGCCAAATTTATTCAGCTTACGAGGGTTTTTTTCTCTCTGATGCTCGTTTTATCTACGTATCCACTGCCATAGAACATTTAATATAGAAAAGAACTATCGAAGAAGTGAATAGAAAAAAGTTTTATGGATGTAAAAATTGTTTTTCATTTACTGAAAGTGCAAAATATTCATTGTGCTTGTCGTTGTGCATTAAGTTTATATTCACAGTACACAGAAAAAATATTGGGTGTATCGATTAATTTCCGGAATCTGACAACAGATGTCACCACTTGCTTGTGCCTTGTAGTAGATCAATGACATATACGTCATTTGAAAAGCCTATTCAAATACTGTCAAAATCAGTCAAAAGTGTTTCATTTGTTTGTGTGCATCATATTTTTTTTCAACGATGAAAAATTTTGAAAATTGGAGAAAGAAACAGCATTTGCGGGAAGTTTTGTTAAGCTATTTTTTGCAAAGAAAACTGCAGCTGATAGCTCATTGTTTACTTGTGAAATTGAATGGCAAACATGCTCTCGCAAAAACACAATGTTACAAGTGGTTTCAACGATTTGAAAGTGGTGACTTTGATGTTCAAGACAAAGATCGCCCAGGTCAGCCAAAAAAGTTTGAAGATGAAGATTTGCAAGCATTATTGGATGAAAACTCAGCCCGAACACAAAAAGAACTTGCATTAGAGTTAAATGTCACTCAATCAACCATTTGTGAACGTTTGCGTGCAATGGGAAAGATTCGAAAGCTAGGGAAATGGGTGCCACATCAACTCAATGAAAATCAATTGAGAGAACGAATCACAGCATGTCAAAAACATCTTGCAAAGCACAAAAAACATAGCTTTTTGAATCGTATTGTCACGGGCGATGAAAAGTGGGTCTATTACGATAACCCAAAACGTAAAGGAGCGTATGTTGATCCAGGCCAACCACGTCCTTTACAGCCAAAACGAGATATTCATTGCCAGAAGGTTATGTTGTGCATCTGGTGGGATCAGAAAGGAATCGTGTATCATGAGCTGCTAAAACAAGGTGAAACGGTTACAGCTGATCGCTATCGACAACAACTGAACAAATTGGCAGGTGCATTGAACGAAAAACGGCCGTTGGTAGCGAGAAAACACCACAAAGTTTTGTTTCACGATGATAATGCTAGGCCACATCGAGCACACATCGTCAAACAAAAGATAGAGGCGTTCGGTTGGATCGGCTTGATCACCCCCGTACTCTCCAGACCTTGCTCCTTCAGACTACCACTTGTTTCGATCGATGCAAATGGGCTTGTCCTAGATATCGTTTCGAAATGCTGAAGGAGGAGTGCGAAAATGGATCGATGAATGGATAGCTTCAAAAGATGAGGAATTCTTTTGACGCGGAATCGACAAGCTACCTAAAAGATGGGCGGAAGTCATAGCTAACGATGGGCAATACATTGTTTAAAAATATTGTACGTTTTTTTTAAATAAATGTATCTTTTCACCAAAAAATTCCGGAAATTAATCGATACACCGAATATCTACCAATTATTTTCGTCACAAAATTGGTATCAAAAATTTTGTGTTTCAAATTTTGGTTTCGTCACTCGTTCTTCACCTCGATAGAGGTTTTTAATTTGATATCAATAGTTTTGTAAGCGCGATTTTTTAAGAATTTGAATCTTTTTCAAATACAATGAAGATATGAATTTTTTGGATCAAAATGATATAAAATATGGTTCATAGGGGAACAGTTTTTTTTTCTGTGGTGTGTGGTATGCATATTTTTTATCTTTAACTTGTGGCTTAAATTGATGAAATTTTCAAAAGAACATATGTAGTCTTTTTCGAGAAAATGTCCGTTATGTGTCCGACCAGACGGTCACATTTTGGTCTTTGGCCAATTTACAACGATATTCATATGTTGAGGCGCCACAGTGACCGTATGAAAAAAATTGCCATTTTTGGCCACATTTTCACTCTCGAAGGCCATATCTTGAAAACAAGAATTTTTCTGGATATGAGCTATGCGGAATTTTATAGCTTGGACTTAGACCTAAAATTGGTGAAATTTTCAAAAAAAATTATTGAACCATTTCCGAGAAAATGTCCTTTATGTGTCCGGCCAGAAGGTCAATTCTTGGTTTTTGGCCAATTTGGCCACCCCGACCTGAAATTTTTAAGTCACAATTGGCCCCATTCGAAAGCACTTTAAGACCTTTCCAACGAGATGCATATGTCCGGGTTGTGTCAAGTGGATGTGCCTCGGTGATCGTAAGGACAAAAGTCAAAAATTGAAAAGTGCCGGAACAAAAAAGTCTTAGTTTTTTGTGTAATTTAATCACAGAAAGTTTCAAAAAGATTAAACACAACTACGTAAAATTGCGCACAGACACACAGAAATTTTAATTTTTCATAGAGATTCATATGAAATTTTTAAAATAATAAATTTTTCGAAGGAATAGAAATTCTTTCGATTTGCTAGGGATTTTCACGTCAAAAATAGACTTCCAAAAAAAAAAATTGTGTGTCATTTTTGGATTTGCAAGGCAATTTGAAGTAGGAAAATTCAATTCTTTTGATTTCTTATGGATTTTCGCGATGAAAAAGTGAAGAGCAAAAAAAAAAACGATTTTATCGTCATTTGGTAGAGAATTTGGAGTTGAAAAATTCTTTCGATTTGCTAGGGATTTTCGCCAAAAAAGTGACTTCCAAAAAAAAAAAAACGATTTTATCCTCATTTCGTACAACTTGTTGACATCGTCAGGGACTCCCCATGCATTTTTCCAGGAACCCCCTACGAAATTTTGCCATCACAACGTTCCGAATTTACAAATGTATATTAAGTTTATATTCACAGTACACAGAAAATATATCTACCAACTATTTTCGTCACAAAATTGATATCAGAAATTTTGTGTTTCAAATTTTGGTTTCGTCACTCGTTCTTCACCTTGATAGAGGTTTTTTATTTGATATCAATAGTTTTGTAAGCGCTATTTTCCAAGTTAAAGATTCAAGACACATGAATTTGAATATTTTTTTTTTGGTTATTTTTGGACCAAATTTATACAAATTATGGTTCATAATGAGGAACAGAGGTATTTTTCAGTGGTATGTGGTATGAATATTGTTTTATCTTTGACTTGAGGCTTAAATTGATGAAATTTTCAAGAGAACATATGCAGTCTTTTTCGGAAAAATGCCCGTTATGTGTGCGGTCAACGGTCAATTTTTGTTTTTTTGCCAATTTGGCCACATGAAATTTTTAAGTCGCAATTGACACCACTTGAGAACTTACTTTAAGACCTTTCGAACGAATATGCATTTATCCTGGTTATGTCAAGTCTAGGTCCCACAGCGACTGCATGAAATATTTTGTGACTTACCGCATGCAACTCTCCCGACGATAGTCCACCTTCTGGACTGGTGGGAGGGGACATAAGATTCGGTATTTTATCGATCTTATGCGAGGAAACTATCAAACATGTAGTTATTTGTTGTTAAGATTTCATATTTCATACATCTAGACATTTTTGTGAAAATTCGAATTTTGGTACATTTGGTCGATTTTTGGTGGAATAGCAATCCAAAACGGTCGATATTTTATTCAATTTTGTTTGGCTAGTCACAGAGCATATCTACAGAGTCATTGGAGTACATTTTGGCCCATAAAATACTTCAAATTTTCCTTTTTGGCCATATTCGCACTATCAAAGACCATATCTCGAAAACAAGAATTTTCTGAGATATGAGCTATGCGGCATTTTATAGCTTGGACTTGGGCCTAAAAATCGATGAAATTTTCAAGTGACCAAGAAAGGCTAGTTTTCGAGCTAATGTGTCCGGCCAAACGGTAACTTTTTGGTTTTTGGCCAGTTTGGCCACCCCAAATTGAAATTTTTGGACCGCAAATGGCTTTATTCGATAGCTCACTTCAAGACCTTTACAATGATATGCATTTGTCTGGGGGGTGTCAAGTCATGGCGCTTCGGTGACCATAGGGCAAAAAGTCGAAAAGTGACTTTTAGAGGCCGGCCATGGCCAACATGGCGGCCATATCGAAAAGTGCCGGAACAAAAAAGTCTTAGTTTTTTGTGTACTTTAATCACAGAAAGTTTCAAAAAGATCAAAAACAAGTACGCAAAATTGCGCACAGATATACCAAATAACTTTTATAGGAAAATCATATGAAATTTTCAAAATGCGGAATTTTTCGAAAAGATTGATCGATTTTGACGGTTAGGAAAGGTAAAAAGGTCGTTGGAAAGGTATTGAGCTCTAGAATTCGAATATCGATGTTTCAGGGGTCGACGACCTCATTTAGTGCCATCTATGGCCGTAGAACTCAATTTTGACCCATTTCTTGAAAGGACCATATTTTGAAGACAGGTGGACCGATTTTCGAAATTTTATATTTTTTCTTGATCTATGGCCCAATGGCTTTCCAACCATACACCAATCGCGGCTAAAGGCCTTCCAGGTTAGAATTTGGAAATTACGTGTATATATAGCAAGTCGACTTTTCAACACACTAAGGTGGTTTCGTCACTCGCGCGAACTGCCGTCCGCTGTGATTTCGCCGGAAAAGCTCATTGAAATATGGATATTTTTCTATATGAAAAATGGTTGATTTTCCATATAAATCTCAAAAATGAAGTTTGCCTCCACAGATTTATCATCTAGCATGATAATGGCCTGAATTATGGCTGAATTCGGTGAACTAAGGTCAATCTCAAAATCCCGCCGGCTAACTCTTTGGGTGTAGTACAAAATTTCGCCGGAATTGGTCTTTGAAATATCGATATTTTTCAATATTTTCTGATATGGAATATTCAATGCATAATTCGTATAATATGTATAGTATATATTCAATTGATGTGCTGCCATATTAATAATAATTGGGAAATAGAAGAGTTTTTACTCAAAATGTTCGATGTTTCTTACCAAAAACCGAAGAATGTACCAAAGATAACACACATCTCCATAAATTAATGTGTTTTGAAGCTGGAATGCTTTTCAACAAAAAAATAATTGATTACACCTTTGGTATACAGTCGCTTGGACGTTCCACATATATCGAACACTAACATTTTTATTGAAAACTAGCAACTACTTTGGCGCTTCTACAGTGTTTTATTCAGATAACGTCAATTTTCATCGTGCTATTTTTTTGGAATGGTCAGTCTCAAGTACATCATATCCGCTCATTCGGAAAACAGCCGTACTCGCAAAGAGTCCAAACCCTCTAGCTTTTTATGATGTATTGAGGCTGACCAAGCAATCATCTTATAAAATCAAATTTTTATTTAAGCTTTTGTTGAATAAGTTCATTTTTTATGTTTACTCTTTCTGGTGACCATTTCCTTTATTTTGGTAATTTTTTTTATTTAAATCGGAGTCAATTACATTTCTTTTGGATCAAACTGGATTTTTTTGGAGACCATTTTCCCTTTTTTTTGGTGACATTTTCCCATTTTCCCATTTGTATTTTTTTGGTGACACTTTAATTTTTTTGGAGACAATTTTAGATTTTTTTGGAGGCCATTTCTATTTTTTCGGTTACTTTTTTCCATTTTTTCAACTACCATTTTCCATTTTTTTGCCGGCCATTTTTTAACGTTTGGAGGCCAAAAAGTTTTTTTGGAGGCCACTTTTCTCTTTTTTTGGAGGCCATTTCCCATTTTTTTGGTAACCATTCTCTTTTTTTGGTGACTTTTTTGCATTTTTTTGGAAACCATTTTCTATTTTTTTGACTGTCACTTGTTCTTTTTTGGAGATTTTTACTATTTTTTTTGGAGGCCAAAAAGATAATTTGGTTACCATTCGATTAAAAAAACTACCAAAAACCATTTTGCCATTTTTTCTTGATCTATGGTCCGAGGCCTTTCCAACCCTACATCAATCGGGGCCAAAGGCTTTCTCAGTCTGGATATCGTATATTTCGTGTATATAATATATAGCGAGTTCGACTTTTAAACACACTAATGTGGTTTCGTTACTCGCGCGAACTGCCGTCCGCTGTAATACTAATTAAAGTTAGTAAAGCTTGGTCATAAAATGAAATTTATAAGAATGTTTAAGAAAATGTTCACAATGGTCTTTCAAAAAGAACGAAACATATAACTGAAATCCCAATTAGAATTGTTAATTTTTGTTCAGATAAACGTTTGTATTTCACGTCAATTTCATATTACGCAAAATAGCTTAAAAATTCTTTGCTTAAACCAAAGTTAAAATACTTGCGAAAGGACTGCCAGGGACTGTTTCTCAGAGGATGGCGAAATTCTATGAGAAATGGTCCCGGTGTAAAGTCACTGCAATGTCATGTAGAACAAAATAGAGAAGATTGCAGAAGTTTTTCGCCAAAAGTTCAAAATACATCAACATTTATGAAACGTAAACTTAATATTCTTTGTGGAAAATGCGACAGGAACGGAAAAAACATATTCAAAAAAAAGGTTAGAGAAGTGATTTACACTGAAGCGTTAGTGGTACGAGAAAAAAAAGCGAAATAACAGCATGCACACTTTGTGTGTAAACAAACATGAAAGAAAAAGGAAGACCATTACCGCACCGAAAGCATGTTAAAAGTGTGAATTTCAATTTAAATTTTAATAACCGATTTAATTCGATGGTAATTGACTGACATTATGCGTTCTTTCATCGGCTTTTTTGCGTGAATGTTTATGTCAAATGACCCAAAATGAAAAGTTCGACGCGTGGCGCTCATTCGTTCGCTCACACTTTTGTTTCGCATCATTTACATGCTCGTAAAATATGTATTAACATGGGTAAAAATTAAAAAAATTGATTTTGTCATAACATGAACGAACAACGAAGAACGAAACAAATAAAAATGTGTGATGTATAAGCGTCGCAAATTTATGCGGTTTTATTTTTCCGGTGTTATCATCAGCTGCATTGTTTTTCATCCCATTGTGTCCGAGCCGTGTCATCTTTAATTTCGGAACATGGCTAAAAAAATGATGATGCCATGTTCTTGGTTATAATAATATATAGCAAAACAAAATAAAAATACACACATACATGGAATATCGCGCAATTATGTCATTGTTTCTGTTTATTTATTTTTTTCCATGCGAACTCATCAGGAAATAATGATTGAGAACTAATTCTAGCCATTCTCACATTGCTTCAATTACATGGATAGCAATTTATCTCTATTTCTTCTTTTCAGTCTCTGTAATTTTTTTTCTTCTTTCTTTACTCTTGAGATTGATTAGAAATACGCTTTGGGCTGTTATTAAACTTTTTCGAATTGCAAACATTCTCATTTTTTTTAGTTCGCTGTTATGCGAACTTGGGGAAAAAGGAAATTTTAAAAAATGATCACGTATTGAAATTGCAGATAGATTTTCCCATTCTCTCTTTTTATCTCATTGAAAATTATAAGTTAAGCGTGTCAGGTATCAAACACTATTTCTTGTACGGGCAAAACTGTTTATAAAAAATCAGCATCTAACACTTTCCATTAATGAAATGTAAAAAAAACTAGAGAACTTAGATGAATATACTAGAAAACGTTACGTTGATTGGGTTTAACCCTCTACTGCATTAATTTTCTTAATTAATCTGAAAAAACGCGTGGTTAAAAAAATATATGCAAAAAACCGAACCGTGCCTGAAGGCAGGGCTATGTACTAGAGGGTTAAAATATCAACAAATTGACAAACAATATTTGCACCTTAACACGTGCATTTGATGTTAACTTTTGACCTATTAATTAATTTTACGCAGCAAGTTATTTTCACGATTTCTCTCTGAATTGGGAGAGAGAGAAATTGGGGGATTACCATTCTTCCTCTTAGTTGTCTTATTTACCTAGTTTAGTACATGGCTTTTTGCTCTTAAGAAATCACAATGTATTTAATTTTCCATCATAAACTCTCTGTATTCATACTTATATTTTTAGCGTGGTTTAAGAGAATGATCAAAATATAAATGATAGTCAAATTAACACTACACAAAATCGTATCTAAATTTAGTTTATGTATGTCCATTTAATTGGAACTCATTTTCAATTAGACTGATTGCTTCTGTAACATTGTTCTTGAAAGCCGACAATACATTGTCTTCGCATGAACTTTGACTTAATATTATGACCTCGTCGAAAACGAGCAATATATATTATTGGTAACTTTCTGTGCTTGACTCATATACAATACCACTATTGTTATGTATCTATCATATCATCGTTGCCTATCTGCCATCTTTCTGTTCTTCGATCAATTTATTTCATAAATTATTTACTCGATTATGAACGCAATTAATTTTGATGATATAATCAAATGTGGCTACACGAGCACTATATGTGTATATATTGAAGTTTGATTTTTGTTACAGATCGTCCAAAACCACCGTATCTACTCATCGATTCACGTCGTTTGGATGCGGGAAATATTTTTGTACCTGTCAAAGAGAACTCAGAACTGACACTGGCTTGCATCAGCGAAGGAGGTAATCCAAAGCCAATACTTAGCTGGGAGGTATTGATAAGCCCTGGTGTTGATCGTCATTCACAAAAAGTATCAGCAGAAGTTTTGGAATTGCAAAAAATAAAAAATGAGGTAAAAAAAGACGTACCTGCATATAAGTATATGTTACAATTATTATGACAGTTTATGATCCCGGAAATTACATTAAGACTTAAAATGTTGATCAATTTTGTACTTTTCTTCTTCCTATTTTGTTACACAGGCGGATAAAGAGCCATATAAAATAAATAGTGGAGCTAAAAGTGAAGCAAAATTACCAGCAGTATATCGAGCGCATCACAATGCGAGAATTCTGTGTGTCATGGAACATCCAACATTAAAAACTCGACTAAACTCGTCACTATTGCTTGATGTACAATGTAAGTACTATGTCAAACGTATGGTTTTTATCCATCGCTTCTGTCTCTGTTTCGGTGTATATGTATTTTTTTTATTCCCATCCGAATAGTGGTGAAGACTGAATATATGTACTATGTGCAGAGTTATTCGATGAATCGAACTGATTCGATTTAATTCAATTTTGATTTGAAATGCAAACGTTGCAAAGCCCAACAAATTTCAAAATGTTGTTATTGAATTTTTGTTTTTCCGTTTCATTTGACAGACACACCATCGTTTGCAATATCACGTACGCCTGGTTTTGGTTATCCTCTTCGTGAAGGTCTTGAAGTATCATTGAAATGCGACGTCGATTCAAATCCGCCCAGTACGCCAATTTGGCAAAAAGACGACGGAGATCCACCGGTAATTTTATTTCATTCAATCTCTCATACTCCGATAAAATTTGGCATGACACAGAAGAAAATGAAGAAAGGGAAAAAACGCATACACGATGCTTTTTGTTTCGTTTTTGGCTTTGTTTGTGACATGCTTTGGGTTAATTCTCAAGTTTGAATGACTCATTCTTCTATTGACCAAAATCTGTTTTAATGAAAATCGGTTGTCTTTTAATGTGATGAATTTGCCAATGGAATTTTTGTGCGACCCTCACTAATTGTTATGTTCTTCTTTCCATCTGTTTAAAAAAAAATTTGTTGCTTATTCGTTTGTTAAACTTAAAGATCCCACAAAATGGGGATGGGTTCTTGAATTTTACGCAAATACGTCGAGAGCATTCCGGATGGTATAAATGTACTTCCCGGCACTTGAATTTCCAATATAGCAGCATAGGATATTTCTTGAATATTCGATGTAAGTTGATTGATAAATACACACAAAAGCTTTCTATTGTCTTTTCCACAATAATGAAAATATTTATGTGTTGTTTTTCGTTTGTTCGTGTTCGCACGCATCAATGCCACAGATGACAATGTTGATGTTACATCTGAGCCCGTTGAACAAGAGGTTTCGGTTGGTTCACCGTTACAGCATACAACCAATAAAAATCATCAATTAGAAGTGCAGTTAGGTGGTACAGTTACGCTTCAGTGTCCTCAAGGTTCGTTGGGTTGTTGGTCACATTTGGATCCAATAAATCAGCGCTTACGCGGTCTTGGTTCATCCCAGCCAACTGGCATCGTTTCGCTTAAGGATGTCGTCTATCAAGATGCTGGCACGTATAAATGTGTTGGCCAAAGTCCTACCAATAAAAAGAAACTAGATGTACTACATACATTATCGCTGAATGTTAAAGGTAAGTGATTTTATTGAATTCACTTTTATAGCCTCCTCTTTCGATGCCGGATCATTTAGATTAGTTTAAATGGTGGTGATGGTGTGGCCATTTCTTTTTTTATGTTTAACCGCCTTTATTGCCGTTTTCCTAATTGCACTCCGCCTCAATAAAGCGAGCATTTAAAGAAAGAAAGAGTGCTCATCGTCATCAAGGCAACATGAAACAAAAAAAGAACGAAGAAAGAACCCAAGACATTCTTATTTCAAGAGAGCATTAATAAAGCAGCATCCACGCATTCAATTATGCAAATTCACCCTTAATTTATTTGATATTCCAAGTAAATTACAATTTAATTTCAGGAGCACCCACTGTAAGCGTTCGAAATCAAACACCTGCTGCTTATCCGGGTTCGCCATTACATTTATCGGTTGAATTTTGTGCCAATCCACCAGCGTATGCAGCCAGATGGCTGCACGGTGACCGTGTATATACACCCGGTAACCAGTATGGCATTGATGTCCTTGCCTACGGAGTTATCGTAAGTCAATAAAAAATTGTTGAATTTTGACTGCTAATGCTTCATGTTTTTTCGCTATATCAACGTTCATTTGATTTTGCTGCGGATAAATTACTTTTCAATGGTCAAACTTAATAATTATTCGGTATTTCTCTTGCTTCTTTTTAGGATCTACCAACTCCATTTTGCAAAGAAGCCCGTCTCACTTATGTGCATATGCACGAACGGGTACCTAGGGGCAATTCACTTAAAAATTGCCTTTCTATTATTTTCCATTCTGCTTCATTACTCATTGATTATCAACTTTCATTTTCATTATATGCTTCCGATTATTTGTCGATTATTTTAAATTAATTCTATTCTTTTCTTTTGTGATTCTCCCCTTAGGTACCGCGCACATTTTATTTTATCGTTTCGTCGCCGAGCGGTTTGGCTGAAGCACAATTCTATATAAACTTTACGCGTAAACGAAACGTTATATCAAATTCAGTTGACGGCGGTGACGAAGAGTTACGCGATCCGGAAGAAATTCATTTTCCCCCCTTTAGTTGCGGTCACAGTCACACGCCAAACATTCTCCAGAGTATTCATTTTAAATTAGCTATAGTCACCTTCATTATTGTTAACATTTTTTGTAGTAACATATTTTAATATTTACCAAACTAAATGATAAACTATCATTTCAACACTGAAACAATATATATATAATATATCTTAAAGTCTATTGTCCCGCCATCAAGTCCATTCTATTTTTTTCCTTCGGCCAACCAAAACAAGAAATTAGTAATATAATTGAGTAAACTGTTTAAATCAAATTAGCTAAAATGAAGTACTATAAACGAGCTAAAGCTATAATTTAAGAACTGTCGATTCGTTGCAACAATTTCCTCACACTCAAATTTATACGTACCCAAACAAATCTTATCCGATTCAATAAAATTTATGACGCCAACTGATCGATGTACGATAATGATCTATTCGACAAGAATTGAATCGACTAAATCTGTGTGTCTCTTTGAAATGGCATCATTTTTATAAAACATCTCCATACCTATTCTCTCTACATGTGAGAAAAGTTTATTAAAAAACAATGAATAGAAATTATAAACAATGTATTATAATTGATAAGAACGTAAGGTGTTAAATAAAAATAAACATTAAAATGAGAATGAAATTACGATATTTTTATAGGAAAAATAAATGAATGAAAATCTCAAAAGACTTATTTAAATAAAAACAAAAAGAAATGAAAAAAAGAAACTTAAACTGCATTGATGAAATCAATGAATTAAAAATGATCGGTTTTGACACAAATGTAGCACGGAATCAGTATTGGTTCTGATGAATTGGTGTTAGCTGTGGAAGATTTAGAAGCAAATAAAAATGGAACAAAATTTTGCAAGAGATTGTTTTGAATGTTTTATTCTTTCAACAAATTGTTAACATCTTCCCATCGATACCGGTCTATTCGAAGAAAAGAGAAAAAAAGAAAAGATTATATCCATTTTTTGAAAAATTTGCACCAAAGTACACACCTCAAGAAATGAAATATCGAATTGGTAACAGTTGAAAAAAATACACAATATCTTACGCACAACAAAAATCCAAAAGAAAAGCAATTCGAAAATGCTTTTCGACTGAATGTGAGTTAATTTCTTGTTTTTATTCGCTACACTCAAATCATTTTGGTATATATGTTCATCTATGCTTTGTACTGTATATTTAGTGGCATAGAGCTTGAATTTAGTCCAATTCAAAACCGAACAAATTTATTCAATAAAATTTGCTGAAACTCAAACATTGTATCGATGTAAACGTCCTGTAGTTTGAATGGTTTTATTCAAAATACTTATGAACCAAGAAAAGAATTAAAAAAAATTGTATTAATATAGTAATATTGAATATTGTTGTATCTCGTTCATTTTGATTTTAAAACTCGTGCCAACATTCAAAGAATATGTCTTCATAGTTTTCGGAAGGCAGGCATTTCATGTTAAACAACGTGAGATAAATATAGATGAATTTCGAATACGAAGCAGTTAAATATGACTTCATTCTTATAACCACATAATTTTTAACAAACAAATTATGTGAAACAATATTATAATGTGTCTATTACACAATACTGCCCAAAACGGACCTGAATATTCATCCCAGTAGAAAAATAGAGACAACGTTGTTGAATTACAACAATTATATAATCACATTTTATTTGTAGAAAATCAGAAACGATTCGTCAAATTTGTGTCGAATCAAAAGAAATTCACATAAAAAAAAGTTCTGCATCGAATCACACACAATTTATACAGATTCATTTGTTAAATATCTGAATGTATTTATTTAAAAAAAATGAAAAAAAGTATCAAAATGACATTATAATGCAAATATAATTATTGGAAGCAACGGAAGAAATTTGAAAACTCGAAAAAGGAAAATTCTTTCTAAAGTCTTATGAGAATGACCAAGTTGATGATTTAAATCATGTTTATATGTGATTCTTCAAACAACTCAAATTTATAGGCTTTCGTTAACACAAAGGGGAGAACGGTGCGCGGAGCGAAACGCCCCAGTCGAATTATCTCGAGAATGAGATCCAGAATATCCAGTGTCATATATCATCTGAAGTGTCTTTATGTCCTCCATGATTGATGGTAATGATATTGGACTTTCATTACGTCAATAACTTTTTAGAAGCATAAAAGTGTTTTTCGATTTTTCACATTTTTTTTCGCTTTTCTAGAATTTTGACTTTTGTGCATTAATTTTTATTTTTCTGAAAAAAGAGTAGGTGTTATTTGTAGCTTAAGTCAAGTGCTTTCTAGCGGGTATAAACATTTTAAGTTTGTTTTTGATTTTTTGTCTGATATCGGGTTTGGCGTGAATTTTCGTCTTCGGGGCGAATAGCCACACTTCAGTACGGGGCGAATCGCCGCACTCATATTGCGTTTTTAACAGCACAACCTATCAGATTTTTTTTTCTAATTTCACCTATACAGATCGATTGGATGTGCAGAAAAAATGAGTTTGTAAAAATATGGGGTTTCCAATCGGAGTATTGAGAACAGGGGAGCACCTCACTTTGTAATACTTCGTCGGATCAAAAAATGATTTATTACAAAGTTGTTCAGAATGATGAAAGAATTTTTTTTGATCAGCTGCCATTCAACTCCTCTACCCTCAGGAGGTCATAACCGGTCATAACCTCTCAACCCATGATTGTTTTTAAAGGAAACGCAAAAATTCGGATTCTCAGTCTCAGAATACTTCAAAAATGCTACTCTCTATTATTGAGTGCCCTCAATGTTTTACACAATGTTTCTTATTAATAATAATCAAGTAAAGATAGAGTAATATAATTAAAATAGAAATGATTATGTTTTATTACTCATATGTGAGATGAGAGAGTGATAAGAATTGAAAATTTAAAGGTGCGACGATTCACCCCGCTATAGGCGGTTCGCCCAATGATTTCCAATTTTACGCGCAATGCCATATGTTGAAGTGGTATCAGCAAAACAAAGAAGTTTCTTCTACAAAAGTTGCGTATTGAAACCACCTTTCAAACGACTCCAGACATTTGTCATTATGAGTTATAGTTGCCGAGATATTTGACTCCAAAAAAAGGTGCGGCGTTTCGCCCCGTCCTCCCCTACAAACATTTTTTATTCATTTTTCAGAAAAAAATTTTTGCACATTTTTTTCATTTATTTTGAAAGAAAAAATCGAATTATAGACTGACAACGTGTCGTTTGAATTATCAAAAACAGAGTCAAACGACCAAATGGAGAGTAATGTTAAAGAGTTCGAAAATAATAATATTGAAAATAATGGTGGTATCTACAATTTTTTTCGAATTTAGAAAAGTCATTTATTTGTGTTCTTATAATTATGTCGGTTAAAAAAAAATATGTCGGAACCCAGGAAGCTCAATAAAAGAAGGACTTTTCGCATAAATTCGAGGCTATTCATTTATTTTCCGGAACGAAGACTAGTCGTGAAAAATAAAAGCATGGGAATTATGTCGGAATTATGTCGGTTCAAATAATATTCTCAGATTTTTCACGGGGTAAGGGGCAGCTCTAGTGAAGAATCCAGACATGATTTTTGTGGTAGCATGTGGTGTCGCACAATCATATTTCAAAATCTGAGTATATCATTTGAACCGACATAATTCCGACATAATTTTTTTTTTAACCGACATAATTATAAGAACATAAAAAAAGACATTTCAAAATTCGAAAAAAAATGTAGATACCAACGAAAACAATAATATTGAAAAACAAAAAAATAAATAATAATGAAAAACAAAAATTAAAAGGTATATATTAATTAACAAAACCTTATCAGAAAAATGTTGATAAAAGATGAAGTGAAAGCCATTGCATAAAGTGGTGCTATTTTTCTTTTCATATTCATCGGTGTAAAATATTCGAGAGAAGAAACGAAAAATTCGATTTCAAGTGAAAATACATAAAGAAAAAACGAAAATTACTGTATAAATGTGTAGTTATGAAAAATGTAATTAGAAGAATAGTATTAGCTTAAAACTACTAAACACTAAAAAATTTCTTTGAAAATTATACTAAAGATGAAAAATTTGAACCTTTGGCAATAGACACTTACTAATATTTTCAATGTACTCATTTCAAATGCATACGTAGGCAAGGTCAACAATTCTGGGGCTTCTATAGAAGCTTATGGTGAATTTTCCTTTCGAAAGTTGAAGAGCAAAATCATAAATCATTGCCAACGTTTGAATATGTGCAACTATACCACCAACCAACCCTTTCTCTTTATCTTTCTTTTTCCACTCCATCGTCCAATTTGTATGTGTCAATGAAGATTTCAATAAAAAAAATTGTAAACAAATGCACAACAAAAAAAAAAAACGAAAATAACAAGAAAAACGAATTTATCTCTCCAAACGAAAACAAAAATGGATTTCTTCTAAATTCTTTCCACTTCTTTCTCGATCTCAATCATCTTAATAGATTCGTATGGTTTGGCAGAAATCTTACTGTTTTGCGATTATTTAGTTTTAAATGCAAAAGAGATAAAGAGAGAAAAAATAAAAAATCTATATTTTTAAACAGGACCTAAAATTGTTTACAAAAAAAGCCAAAAAAAAACATTGCAAATGAAATCTACAACTTTGAACAATGAAATTGAATAGATTCGAAGTGTATGTAGCTTAGATTGAAACCATCCATTAAATTTAATTATCGTTTTTATCTAAAGATATACATTTAGATAATTTAATTATACAAGAGACACATTTTCGGAGGAACAATTGAAAATCGTTTTGAGAATGACAAATTCAAATCAACATACAATTGAAATCAATCAGAAGACAACAAAATATGGACATCAAGCCAATAACAAAAACAATAGCATCTGTAACAAGCCAAACATTAAAAAAATTAACGATTAATAATAATCTACTTACGTATTGTACAGAATAAAATCAAAGTATGAAACATGTATCGATTTGTATAACAAAAAAACCATCATTTATATGTATACACGTGCGTGCAGAAATTTTAATAAAAACAACGTAATTTTTCATAGGATGGAATGAATTCAAGCGCAATCGCATTATATCGCAAAATTTAGCGCTAATATTCAATGGAAAATTGACGATTTTTGATTGACTGGCACGACAACAGTCAATACAAACTTATTGTTAAAATAGTATTTAATCATGAAGACAATGGAATGGACAAAAATGATCGGCGAATAATCAAAAAAATGAACGAATGCTAAAGCCTGGAAATGAGCATAATAAACTTACTCAACATGGATTTAAAAACATACAAACAATACAAACAAATATATAATTATTATTAATATGTGGAACAACAACAATAAAAAAAACGAATTACAGCGTATTAAAATGTGGTATTTGTAAAATACGCGAGTTCGTAATAGCATCATGAATTCAATTAAAACGAGGTTAAACAAAAACCACAAAAATGATCATGAAAATGGCCAGATTAATTTGATTTAAATGAAAAGAAAAACATTGAAAGGAAATTAAAAAAAATATAAAAATAAACCAATTGATTTTTCATTCATTTCTCTTATTAAAATGTGGTATATTATTCTTTTGTACAGTTATTCTAAGGATAAAATTTTGATAAATCTGGGAATTAAATGTTGACTGGAAAATGAGTGAGTTAAAAACGATTTGAAAAATGTTTCCCGATGCTTATGGAATACCGATGGGTGTTTGCACCAATTTTGAAGCATTTTTTTCAACTGCTACTCAGTATTGTATAAACACGATTTCAGATAAATCTCTGGATACCCTAATTCGGCATTTTTATCACTTTTTCACGTCAAAAGTTAAACTATGTCATTTTGAGACCAATAAAATGCATTTTTTATATGAAAAAATCACGTGGAT